AGGCGGGTTCGAGCCAGCCGATCCCGCCAGCAGGAACAGCCGCTGGGTTATACCGTTGTAGGATACATTAAAGACAGCTTGCCCCAATATAACAAAGAACATTATGAAACATTTTTGCACAAAGGGCATAACCTAGTATAGAATAAGTGGGGCAACCCGACCCGTGAGTCAGTAGACACCCACCTGGTGTGCCACCGAGTCAGGGGTTGTCCAAGGGCCTCCTCCTGCCGTCCAGCTACTCGAGGGGGTCAGGTAAAGGCCAGGAGTCTTTCGGCACCCCCCAGCTCCCCCAGACCTCGATCCACAGTCAATCCACAGCCAAAGCCCGCCAAGAGCAATAGGTGTCAGTAGCATCCCCTGGAAGCCTATGAGAGAAAAATGGTTAGTGAAGGCAATGCATAACAAGACAGAATCAAGCCAGTAAAATGAGCACCAAGGTGCCCAACCGATGACAAATCACAGGGCATGCCTGAGACAGCAGATCAGCCTTCATTCGCTGATGGGATGGCAGGCCCAGCCGGTCCCCGGCCTCAGGACTGGGCCGGGGGGACTCAGGACTGGGTCGGGGGGCAGGGTGGCAATTGCCCCCCGGGCCACTCTGTTGCCTCTAATAACGGTCCCCATCGGCGCAGACACTTTTGTCACCTCTCCCCTCTCGGCCGCTCTGCTACTTCAGCAGCCGAAGAGGAGACCATGTTGTTCGGCTGCCTTCCCGAATGCCCGTGTCACTGTCTGATCGGGCTATTCGCGGCTATGGCAGCTCCCTCCGCCCACTTCTGCTGCTATTGGCTGGGAGGGAGACTGCCCACCTACCATTGGCTGTGGAGTGCTGTGCGGGACCTGAATGAAGGACACCACGAGGAGTCTGCTGGAGCATTCATCTCGGAACTTCCAGGCAACCTCGCTGTGCCCCCCCCCCCCAACTACCAGGAGAGAAAGAGAAGAGGGCACAGCACCTGAATGAAGAAAGAAAAGGAGTCACAGTAAGTCCCTGCTTTTTCTGTGTGACCTCTGACCTCTATCTCTGTACTGTTATCACTGACTTCTGCACTGCGTCACACCCTGACCTCTGCATCACACCCTGACCTCTGCGCTCTGCGTCACACCCTGAGCTCTGCGTCACACCCTGAGCTCTGCGTCACAACCTGTCCATTGCGCTCTGCGTCACACCCTGACCACTGCGCTCTGCTTCACACCCTGACCATTGCGCTCTGCGTCACACCCTAACCACTGGGCTCTACGCCACACCCTGACCTCTGCGCTCTGCGTGTCACCCTGAGCTCTGCATCACACCCTGAGCTCTGCGTCACACCCTGACCTCTGCGCTCTGCGTCACACCCTGACCTCTGCGTCACACCCTGACCTCAGCGCCACACCCTCACATCTGCGTCACACCCTGACCTCTGCATCACACCCCGACCTCTGCGCTCTGCCTCACACCCTGACCCCTGCGTCACACCCTGACCACTGTGCTCTGCGTCACACCCTGACCACTGTGCTCTGCATGCCTCCCTGTCAACTGTGCTCTGCGTCACACCATGACCGCTGCGCTCTGCGTCACACCCTGACCACTGACCTCTGCGTCACACCCTGCCCTCAGCGCCACACCCTCACATCTGCGTCACACCCTGACCTCTGCGCTCTGCGTCACACCCTGACCCCTGCGTCACACCCTGACCACTGTGCTCTGTGTCACACCCTGACACACCCTGTGTCACACCCTGACCACTATGCTCTGCATCCCTCCCTGCCCTCTGCGTCCCACCATGACCTCTGCGTCACACTCTGACCTCTACGTCACACCCTGCCCTCTGCGTCACACCCTGACCTCAGCGCTCTGCATCACTCTGCGCTTGGCGTCACACCCTGACCTCTGCGTTCGGCGTCACACCCTGACCACTTCGCTCTGCGTCACACCCTGACCTCTGCGCTCTGCGTCACTCCCTGACATTTGCGCTCTGTCACACCCTGACCAATGCGCTCTGCGTCACACCCTGATCTCTGCGTCACACCCTGACCATTGCGCTCTGCGTCACACCCTGACCATTGCGCTCTGCGTCACAGCCTAACCACTGCGTTCTGCGTCACACCCTGACCACTGCGCTCTGCGTCACACCCTGACCACTGAGCTTTGCGTCACACCTTGACCACTGTGCTCTGCATCACACCCTGACCTCTGTGCTCTGCTTTACTCCCTGACCTCTGCATCACACCCTGCCCTCAGCGCCACACCCTCACATCTGCGTCACACCCTGACCCCTGCGTCACACCCTGACCACTGTGCTCTGCGTCACACCCTGACCACTGTGCTCTGCATCCCTCCCTGACCTCTGCGCTCTGCGTCACACCCTGACCTCTGCGTCACTCTCTGACATTTGCGCTCTGCGTCACACCCTGACCTCTGCGTTCTGCGTCACACTCTGTTCTCAGCGCTCTGCGTCACATCCTGACGTCTGTGCTTGGCGTCACACCCTGACCTCTGCGTTCGGCGTCACACCCTGACCTCTGCGTTTGGCGTCACACCATGACCACTTAGCTCTGCGTCACACCCTGACCTCTGCGTAAAAAGTAGAAAACGATTGGGTGGAGCTAGCAGTGACAGCTAGCGCTGCCCAACTGTTTCCTATTGGCCGGGAAATGAACAACAACTAGGTAACCAGGGGATGCCGAACTCTAATCTAGCAAAGGCCTTACTGATCTGCGCATTGCCAGGGTCAGACGAGAAAGGTCTGGGAGAAGTTGGATGGAGGCGACGTCAAAATCTATGTTGCTCGTTCTCCATACAGAGCGAAGGATCTCCTCTTTAATAGTGTAGAAGTGCACCCGACATAATACATCTCTAGCACGATTTAGGAGTCCCTGGGCGGCCCTGGACACACGGTGAACACTGTCAAGTTTGATGAAGGTGGTGGGAGGCTTCCCCAGGGCCCTCAATTGCAGCTGTTGGAGTTGGGAGCAATGGGACTCCTGGGCAGCCTCCAGTGCCCCCAGACAGATATCATGAGAGGTCACTGAATCTGATAGGGCTAAGATGTTGGCGTCTGCGGTTGTCACCCTCTGGTGAAGCTCTCTCACCTCACCCATCAGTGCGCTCACCCATCAGGTCCAAGGCCCTCTGTCCCGAGGGTCGGGTGGAGGATCGGAGCCCCTGCATAGGGGTGGAGGCCGGCGCAGCCTTCTTTGGCGGGACGGCCAAAGTTGCGGCCAGCCGGTTTTGCGGCTTTGTTCGGGCGGTGCCTGAAATAGCAGGCAATGCCTCGGGTCCAGGAAGCGGAGGGAGTCTCGGGCGAGGTCCGGGCACGGGGCATAAAGTAAGTCTGGAGCTGGAAAGTCTAGTGTATGAGGGCCCCGGGTCGGCAGATCTTGATTCCGTGCGTCCTTACTCCTCCATGGTCGGCCACGCACCCCTCAGGTTTTTTATTTTAAATACCACCAAAAGAAAGCACTATCTGTCCCCAAAAATATTATATAAAAAGAATTTCAGTACAGCGTTGCATGACTGAATATTTATTTATTAGTCCAAGTACCAAAGCGCTGAATACTGAAAAATGGCCTGGACAGGAAGGGGGTTTAATACCCCGTTCTTCAAGTGGCTAAAACTTATACTTTCCTATTACAGAGCCTCCATGGGTTAAGACAGACTCAACACTTGGGCTAATCGACTCTGACGTCGCTTTCTTTGAGCTTCAAAAGTGGATTCTCCCTTCCTCTTGTACCTCGGGGTAGTGGTGAACACCCAAATCCTCTGAAGCTTCTACTCCCCCCGGGCCGGAGCCCTCACGAAGGATGTGTTTTCAAAGCCTCATTTTGTCTTCAGACTGCCGCCCTGCGGTTGGCAAGGAGTTTTGTTGATCGATGATGCCGGTGTGTTTTCACTCCCACGACTCCAGTCGATCCTTCTGCGACCGTGGATTGCCAGGCTCCCGGAATGTCATTACTTGGCCATTTTGGCCAAGTTTTGTATTTTGTGACCCGCGTAGACCTTGCATATAATTTGAAAACAAAAATCATGTATATCTGGCTGTAGAAACAAGAACAGCCACAGGGTGTCATAAATTAGTCATTTATTGCTTAAAGTGACATTAAACCCTGAGATTTTTCAACATAAAACAATACTGTAATGTGTGCCTTACTGTAATCCATGGTTGTTTCCCTTCTCTTTGCTGCTCTTCCTTTTAAATCCTTATCTCTTGTCATGCTGGGGAGAACTTCCCTTTGCAGCTGAGTGCCTCTTCCTGTAGTGCTGGCTCAGGTTGTGAACCTGCACACAGACACCATGTATCCATTCCAGAGACAAGGCAGTCTGCTGCAAAACAGAAGTTCTGCCCAGCATGAGAAGAGATACGGATTTAAAAGGAAGAGCAGCAAAGAGAAGGGCAACAACCATGGATTACAGTAAGGCACACACTACAGTATTGTTTTATGTTAGGGTTTAATGTCACTCTAAGCTTTGAGTTAATTCCAGGGTAAGCAGGAAAAACAACCAAAATGTGCAATTTTTAATGTATTTTTTTAAACATCTTTATAGTTTATTTTGTTTGGGGGATGGACGAAAAATGGACTTTCCACTTGCATTGAAGTTTACCTTAACGTGCATATTCTTGACACAAGTTTACTAACACCTACAAATAACATCCTAAAATGTCCATACCAAATATTTTTAGCATTGTGGAAATATCAAGATTCAAACAAAAATCAGCATATGTTTCACACGATTTGATAGAGTAAAAAAAACGGTCATCCACTTTCTGAAAGCCTAGTCTACACGAGCCATTACAATTCAACGCTGTATAGGAAGCATGCGCATTATGTGCTGTTATCACCACGTGACCAGTAGCAGCTCTCTTATTCTCTTTTTTTACTATCACTATAGGGAGTCTATGACGTACAGTGTTGCTCCACAAATTGCAACTCGATCCCAGGTCTACAAGCCAATTAGTGCATCTGTTTCAGTTTATAGGAACTGCATCTTGTCGGCTCCATGTTCGGTGGGAGGAGTGAGTCTGTCAACTCGCTCTGTACCACACGCTAAACGAAAGACTAGAAGGCGTGAGCACGAGTTTACGTCACAAGCTCGACAAGATGGAGGCGGCAGAAGAAGGTATCGTTATTACGTGCAGGTTCAGAGTTCGATGATAGTTGTTAATTTGCTTGTGCTGCACTGTTCGGTTGTTTTGCGTGCATGCATAAATACTTTTAAACATGATTTTGTAACCAGTACTTGGCGACTAGATATGGTTTATTCGAATAACTGAGATATGCGCAGTTAAATGTTTCTAACTTGAAGGCGGTCGTTGGTACGTTGTGGTCGGATTTGTAAATTTGCTAATAGAAGCTGACGCATAAAGAGGATTTTTTGTGCGCCGTAGGGGTTTTAAATACTGTTCAGCACTTTAGTTTTAATGTACTGAAGGTAAAATCCAGGTTGCGTGGTTAGTATCTGTCCAAAATATAGGCATTCTATTAAAAAAAGGCAAATACATTATTTGTTCCTGGGGGGCGAAGAAAAAGTCCATAAAAACGTTTTTGGTCCCATGTTCTCCTGTCATAATGTACAATTGACAATTTGTTGTAGAAAAAGTGGGGGCGGGGGGG